TAGTGATTTCGTTTATTTGGGTCTTCTCTCTCCTGATTAATCTTGCTAGAGGTTTATCAATTTTGTTGATCTTTTCAAAGAACCAGGTCTTTGTGTCTCTTCTATAGATTTTTTTAGTTTCTGTAGTATTTATTTCTGCTCTAATCTTCATTATACTCTTCTTTTTCTGGATTTGGGTTTTATTCTCTTTTAGGTGTAAAGTTAGGTTGTTCCAGATATTTTCTTGTGGTTCATTTTTAGTTTTGTAGCATTGTGGTCAGAAAAGATGCATGGAGGGAGCTAAGATGGCAGGAGAGCAGGAGGACTCTAGGCTCATCTCTTCTCTTGAACACAACTAGATAACTATAAAATCCTTCTAAATACCCCAGAAATCAACCTGAAGATTGAGAGAACCAACTCCACAACTAAAAGGAGAGAAGAAGTCACAACAAAGAATGTGGGAAGTATGGAGAAATGGTTTGAGGGGGAAACCAGATGGCAATTGCTGTAAAAGGAGGGAGCTGTGGTCACAGAGAAAGGTGAGAGAGAGAGGGGGGAACACACAGGGAACACATTTACTGAAAGCCATTGTCTGGGAAAATGAGAGGAGTTGATTTTTGTGAGTTCTTGTAGCCAGCAGGGCTTAACGACTGGAATTTTAAAAGTTAGCAGAGTCTGGAGGGCACTGCTCTACTCCTGGAGAGAGGCAGGAGAGAGAGGCAGGAGTAGGCACTGCTCTACTCCTGGGAGAGAGGCAGGCAAAGAACCAAGGGGAGGGGGGCAGATGGTGTGGAATCAGTGATCTGAAGAATGCCTGGGGCACACAGCAGGGAGATTACTCACTCTTCTTGGAGGCAGTCCCTGGGAGGCAGCATTCAGGGAGAGGCCTCTCCAAGGACAAAGGAGTTGGCTGGTACCATTTCCCTCCCCTGCCCCTCACCATAACCACATAGCCACCTGTGGAAAGCAGCTTAGCCACAACAATGGCTGCCCAACCTGCTTAAACCAAGTCCCATACCCCTGTGCTCTGCTGGGACTACCTCTCTTGGTCAAGCCTGCCTCAGTCCCAGCATAGTAGGCCCCTTCCCCAGAAGACCAGAAAAAAACCCTGCCCACACCATGTCTCCTGACCAGAGACTTGTGCAGGGCTTTAGTTCTAGTGGAAGTAGTATCAGGTCTCATTTAACAAGCAGACCAGAACATACCTAGTTAAAACTTACAACATTCTGGCCAAAGACCAAACATTGTCCACTGCAGGCAAAGAGAGCCTATGCGGACCACTGGCCTGAAAGACAGAGCAGCCAAAACACAACAGCAGAACACATGAAACAGCACACACTAGACACTCCCTGAAGCACCAGGCTGTGGACACTATATAACCTCTTCTTCATAAAGCCATTATTCTCAGGAACAAGAAACATAATGGGCTTTTCTAACACAGGGAAGATAGAGACCTAGACAAAAATGACAAGATGGAGGAATTCACCCCAAATGAAAGAACAAGATAAGGTCATGGCCAGAGATCTAAGCAAAACAGATATAAGTAACAATCCTACTGGAGAATTTAAAGCAACAATCAAAAGGATACTAGACTTGAGAAAGGAATGGATGACTTTAGGATATAAAAGTTAAAAAAGAATCAATCAGAAAAATTCTCAACAAGATACTAGCCAATAATAGGATCCAACAGTACATTAAGATTATTCACCATGACCAAGTGAGATTTATCCCCGGGATGCAAGGTTGGTTCAACACTCATAAAGCAATCAATGTGATTGATCTTAGCAACAAGAGAAAAAACAAGAACTATATGATCCTCTCAATAGATGCAGAAAAAGCATTTGACAAAATCCAGCATCCATTCCTGATCAAAACTCTTCAGAGTGTAGGGATAGGGGGAACATTCCTCAGCATCTTAAAAGCCATCTACAAAAAGCCCACAGAAAATATCATTATCAATGGGGAAACACTGGGAGCCTTTCCCCTAAGATCAGGAACACAACAGGGATGTCCACTCTCACCACTGCTCTTCAACATAGTATTAGAAGTCCTCAGCAATCACGCAACAACAAGAAATAAAAGGCATTCAAATTGGCAAAGAAGAGGTCACACTCTCCCTCTTCACAGATGACATGATACTCTACATAGAAAACCCAAAAGACTCCACCCCAAGATTGCTAGAACTCCTACAGCAATTCGGCAGTGTGGCAGGATACAAAATCAATGCCCAGAAGTCAGTGGCATTTCTATACACTGACAATGAGACTGAAGAAAGAGAAATTAAGGAGTCAATCGCATTTACACTTGCACCCAAAAGCATAAGATACCTAGGAAGAAACCTAACCGAAGAGGTAAAGGATCTATACCCTAAAAACTACAGAACACTTCTGAAAGAAATTGAGGAAGACACAAAGAGATGGAAAAATATTCCATGCTCCTGGATTGGAAGAATTAATATTGTGAAAATATCAATGGTACCTGGGGCAATGTACACATTTAATGCAATACCATGGACTTTCTTCAGAGAGTTGGAACAAATCATCTGAGGATTTGTGTGGAATCAGAAAGGACCCCGAATAGGCAGGAGAATATAAAAAAGAAAACCATAGCTGGGGGCATCACAATGCCAGATTTCAGGTTGTACTACAAAGCTTGATCATCAAGACAGTGTGGTACTGGCACAAAAACAGACACATAGATCAATGGAGCAGAATAGAGAATCCAGAAGTGGGCTCTCAACTCTATGGTCAACTAATATTCAACAAAGCAGGAAAGACCATCCACTGGAAAAGAGTCTCTTCAATAAATGGTGCTGGGAAAATTGGACAGTCACATGCAGAAGAATGAAACTAGACCACTCTCTTACACCATACACAAAGATAAACTCAAAATGGATAAAAGATCTAAATGTGAGACAAGAATCCATAAAAATCCTAGAGGAGAACACAGGCAACAACACCCTTTTTAAACTTGGCCACAGCAACTTCTTGCAAGATACATCTATGAAGGCAAGAGAAACAAAAGCAAAAATGAATTATTGGGACTTCATCAAGATAAAAAGCTTCTGCACAGCAAAAGAAACAGTCAGTGAAACTAAAAGACAACCTACAGAATGGGAGAAGATATTTGCAAATGACCTATCAGATAAAGGGCTAGTATCCAAGATCTATAAAGAACTTATTAAACTCAACAACAAAGAAACAAACAATCCAATCATGAAATGGGCAAAAGACATGAACAGAAATCTCACAGAGGAAGACATAGACATGGCCAACAGCACATGGAAAATGCTCTGCATCACTGGCCATCAGGGAAATACAAATCAAAACCACAATGAGATACCACCTCACACCAGTGAGAATGTTGAAAATTAACAAGACAGAAAACAACAAATGTTGGAGAGGATGTGAGAAAGGGGAACCCTCTTGCACTGTTGGGAATGTGAACTGGTACAGCCACTGGAAAACTGTGTGGAGGTTCCTCAAAGAGTTAAAAATAGAACTGCCCTACCACCCAGCAATTGCACTGCTGGGGATTTACCCCAAAGATACAGATGCAGTGAAATGCCGGGACACCTGCACCCTAATGTTTATAGCAGCAATGTCCACAATAGCCAAACTGTGGAAGGAGCCTCGGTGTCCATTGAAAGGTGAATGATAAAGAAGATGTGCTATATGTACACAATGGTATATTACTCAGCCATTAGAAATGACAAATACCCACCAGTTGCTTCGATGTGGATGGAACTGGAGAGTATTATGCTGAGTGAAATAAGTCAATCAGAGAAGGACAAACATTATATGGTCTCATTCATTTGGGGAATATACAAAATAGTGAAAAGGAATAAAGGGGAAAGGAGAGAAAATGAGTGAAAATACCAGTGATGGTGACAGAACATGAGAGACACCTAACTCTGGGAAACGAACAAGGGGTAGTGGAAAGGGAGGTGGCAGGGGGTTGGGGTGACTGGGTGATGGGCACTGAGGGGGGCACTTGACGGGATGAGCACTGGGTGTTATGCTATACGTTGGCAATGAACTCCAAAAAACTTTAAAAAAAAGAGTCAGAAATTAAAAATGCAATAACTGAGATTGGAAACAGGCTTGATGCAATGAACACAAGACTGGAAGAAGCAGAGGAATGAATTAGTGACCTAGAAGATAAAATAATGGAAAACAATGAAGTTAAAGAAAAGAGAGAAACAAGTATGATGGAACATAAGAATAGACTTAGGGAACTCAATGACTCCATCAAACATATTAACATTTGTGATATAGGAGTCCCAGAAGAATAAGAGAGAGAAAAGAGGGCAGAAAGTTAATTTTAGGAAATAATAGCTAAAAATTTCCCTAATCTGGGGAAGGAAACAGACATGTAGATCCAGGAGAATTCCCATCAAAATCAACAAAAGCAGGCCAACACGAAGACATACTATAATTAAATTTGCAAAATGTAGTGATAAAGAAAAAAAAACTTAAAAGCAGCAAGATAAAATAAGTCCTTAAATTACAAGGGAAGACCCATAAGGCTAGCTGCACATTGCTCAACAGAAACTTGGCAAGACAGAAGGAAGTGGGCAGGATACATTCAAAGTGCTGAAAGGGATAAATTTGCAGCCAAGAATATCACAAGGCTGTCATTCAGAATAGGAGAGATAAAGAGTTCCCCAGACAAAAAACAAAACAAAACAAACAAGCAAACAAAACTAAAGGAGTTCATGACAACTAATCCAGTCCTAAAAGAAATATTAAGGAGGATTCTTTGAGTGGAAAGGAAAGACCAAAAGTGACAAAGACAAGAAAGGATCAGAGAAAATCTCCAGAAACAACAAAACAAGTAATGAAATGTCACTAAATGTATTTCTATCAATAATTACCCTGAATTAAAATGGACTAAGTACTCCAATCAAAAGACACGGGGAATCAGAATGGATGAAAAAACAAGACCCATCTATATGTTCTCTATAAGGGACCCATTTCATACCTAAAGACATCTGCAGTTTGAAAGTGAGGGGATACTCCATGGCTGTGGTCCTTCAGGACTACGTGGCCCCCAACTACCGTTTCCTAACCATACACAGGGGCCAAGTTGTGTATGTCTTCTCCAAGCTGAAGGGCCGAGGGCGGCTCTTCTGGGGAGGCAGTGTTCAGGGAGATTACTATGGAGATCTAGCTGCTCACCTGGGCTATTTCCCCAGTAGTGTTGTACGTGAGGACCAGACCCTGAAACCTGGCAAAATCCATGTGAAGACAGATAAATGGGAGTTCTACTGCCAGTGAGGTCAGCCTACCACTGTCCCTGCTGTGTGTGTGTGGTTTTTTTTTTTTTTCCTTCTGGCTTTATGCAAATATATCAGCCAAGTGGGAAAAAAAAAAGTGAGGGGATAAACATTTATCATGCAAATGGACATCAAAAGAAAGCCAGAGTTGCAATCAATACTTGTATCAGACAAACTAGACTTTATACCAAAGACTGTAACAGAAGATGAAGAAGGTACTATATCATAATAAAGGGAATGATCCAACATGATGATCTAACAATTGTAAATATTTGTGCACCCAACATAGGAGCACTGAAATACATAAAACAATTAAAAACCAATATAAAGGAACCCATTGATAATAATACAATAATAGTAGGAGACTAACACTATACTATATAAATGGACAGATAATCTAAACAGAAAATCAACAAGGAAACAGTGCCTCTGAATGACACACTGGACCAGATGGGCTTAACAGATATATTCAGAACATCATCCTAAAGCAGCAGAATACACATTCGTTTCAAGGGCACATAGGACATTCTATAGAATAGATCACATACTGGGTCACAAATCAGGCCTCAACAAGTACAAAAAAATTGAGAACATACTAGGCATATTTTCAGACCACAATGCTATGAAAGTTTAAGTTAGCCATAGGAAGAATTTGGAAAGGCTACAAATACATGCAAGTTAAAGAACATCCTACTAAAGAATGAATGGGTTAACCAGGAAATTAAAGAAAAAATGAAAAAAATACTTGGAAACAAATGAAAATGAAAACACAGCAGTCCAAAACCTATGGGATACAGCAAAAGCAGAACAAAGAGGGAAGTTTATAGCAATACAGGCTTACCACAGGTAAAAGGAAAAATCTCAAGTAAACAACATAACCTAAAGGAGCTCGGTAAAGAAGAAGAAATGAAGCCTAAAGCAAACAGAAGGAAGGAAATAAAGATTAGAGCAGAAATAAATGATATAAAAACTAATAGAACAAATCAATGAAACTAGGAGCTTGTTCTTTGAAAAAAAATAAATAATAAAAAATAATAAAATTGATAAACTCCTAGCCAGATTTATTAAAAATAAAAGATAAAGGACTCAAATAATAAAATGACAAAAAGAGGAGAAATAACAACGAACACTACCTAAATACAAAGAATTATAAGAGAATATCATGAAAAACTATATGCCCACAAATTGGACAACCTGGAAGAAGTGGATAAATTCCTAGAAACATATAGACTACCAAAATTGAAACAGGAAGAAGAAACCTTGAACAGACCAATAAGTAGCAAAAAAAAAAAAAAAAATCAATCAGTAATCAAAAATCTCCCAACAAACAAAAGTCCAGGGCCAGATGTCTTCATAGGCAAATTTTACCAAACATTTAAAGAAGTGTTAATAACTATTCCAAACTATTCCAAAAAACAGAAAATGAAGAAATATTTCCAAATTCATTCTACAAGACCATGTTATTTACCATGATAACAATACTAGATAAAGACTCCACCAAAAAATTAAACTACAGGCCAATATCCTTGATGAATATGGATGTAAAAATTCTCAATAAAATACTAGCTGACTGAATCCAGCAACACATTAAAAGAATCATTTGCTATGATCAAGTGGGATTTATACCTGGGCTGCAAGGGTGATGCAGTATTTACAGATCAATCAACATGATACACCACATTAATAAAAGGATAAGAACCATATGATCCTCTCAATAGATGCAGGAAAAGCATTTGACAAAGTTAAACATCGATTCATGATAAAAACCCTCAACAGAGTAGGGTTAGAAGGAAATTACCTCAACATCATAAAGGCCACATATGAAAGGCCCACAGCTAATATCCAAATTGGGGAAAAACTAAGACCTTTTCCTCTATAGTCTGGGAGAAGACAGGGATGTCCACTGTCCACTGTTATTTAACATAGAATTAGAAACCCTGGGATCCCTGGGTGGCGCAGTGGTTTGGCGCCTGCCTTTGGCCCAGGGCGCGATCCTGGGGACCCGGGATCGAGTCCCACGTCGGGCTCCCGGTGCATGGGGCCTGCTTCTCCCTCTGCCTGTGTCTCTGCCTCTCTCTCTCTCTCTCTCTCTCTCTCTCTGTGTGTGTGTGTGACTATCATAAATAAATAAAGAAAAAAAATATTAAAAAAAAAAGAATTAGAAAACCTAACCACAGCAAATGGATGACAAAGAAAAATAAAAGGCATCTGAATTGGCAAGAAAGTCAAACTTTCACTATTTGCAAATCACGTGATACTCAATATAGAATACCCAAAAGACTCCACCAAAAAATTGCTAGAACTGACAAATGAATTCAATAAAGTCACAGGAAAATTGATGTACAGAAATCTGTTGCATTTCTATACAGCAATAATGAAGCAGCAGATGAGAAATCAAGGAATCAATCCTATTTACAATTGCACCAAAAACCATAAGATACCTAACCAATAGCAATAAACCTAACCAAAGAGGTAAAAGATCTGTACTCTGAAAATTATAGATCACCTATGAAAGAAGTTGAAGAGCACACAAAGAAATGGGTAAACATTCCATGCTCATGGATTGGAAGAATATTATTAAAATACCTATATTACTCAAAGCAACTTACGCATTTAATGCAACCCCTATCAAAATACCAACAGAATTCTTCACAGAGCTAGAACAAACAATCCTAAAATTTGTATGGAACCAAATAACCAAAGCAACCTTGAAAAAGAAGAGTAAAGCTGGAGGAGGCATCACCATTCCAGGTTCCAAATTATATTACAAAGCTATAGTGATCAAGACAATATGGTATGGCAAAAGAATAGACACATAGATAAATGGGACAGAACAGAAAACCCAGAAATGAGCCCACAACTATATCGTCAGTTAATCTTCAACAAAACAGGAAAGAATACCCAAAGGAAAAAAAGATAGTCTCTTCAATGAATGACGGGAAACCTGGACAGCTACATGCAAAAGAATAAAGCTGAGGGGATCCCTGGGTGGCACAGTGGTTTAGCGCCTGCCTTTGGCCCAGGGCGCGATCCTGGAGACCCGGGATCGAATCCCACGTCGGGCTCCCGGTGCATGGAGCCTGCTTCTCCCTCTGCCTATGTCTCTGCCTCTCTCTCTCTCTCTCTGTGACTATCGTAAATAAATAAATTAAAATTAAAAAAAAATAAAAATTATCTAAAAAAAAAAAGAATAAAGCTGAATCACTTTCTTACACCATACACAAAAATAAATTCAAAATGGATTAAAGAACTAAATATAAGATAGGAAACCATCAAAATCCTAGAGGAGAACACAGGCAGTAGCCTCATTTACCCGGGCCATAGCAACTTCTTTCTAGATGTTTCCCGAGGCAAGGGAAATAAAAGCAAAAATAAACTAGAGAGACGTCATCAAAATAAAAAGCTTCTGCACAGTGAAGGAAACAACAAAACTAAAAGTCAATCAACAGCCTGAGAGAAGATACTTACAAATGACATATCTGATAAAGGGTTAGTATCCAAAAAATATAAAAAACTTATAAAACTCAACAACCTAAAAATAAATAATCCAATTAAAAATGGGCGGAAGACAGGTGCCTGGGTGGCTCATTTGGTTAAGCATCTGACTCTTATTTCAGCTCAGGTCATGAGATCAAGCCCTGTGTGGAGGTCCATGCTGGACATGGAGCCTGCTTCAGATTCTCTCCCTCTCACTCTGCCTACCCTCCTGAACTCTTGCTGTCAAAAAAAAAAAAAAAAAAAAAAAAAAAAAAAGCAGAAGACAGGAATAGATATTTTTCCAAAGAAGATATATAGATGGCCAACAGACACATGAAAAGATGCTCAATATCACTTATCATCAGGGAAATGTGAATCAAAAGTACAATGAAATATCAGTTCAAACCTGTCATAATGGTTGGAATTAACACAAGAACAACAGGTATTGGTGAGGATGTGTAGAAAGGGGAACCCTCTTGCACTGTTGGTGGGAATGCAAACTGGTGCAGCCACTCTAGAAAACAGCATGGAGCTTCCTCAAAAAGTTAAAAATAGAACTACCTTGTGATCCAGCAATTGCACTACTAGGTATTTACCCAAACAATACAAAAATACTAATTCAAAGGAATAAATGCACCCCAGTGTTTATAGCGGCATCAACAATAGTTAAATTATGGAAAAAGCCCAGATGTCCATTGACTGATGAATAGATAAAGATGTAGTATATATATCTATGGGTTAAGTAGGGGTTGGGGATTAAGAAGTACACTTGTGATAATCCCTGAGTTTTGTATGTAAATATTTTATCACTAAATTGTACACCTGAAACTAATACTACGCTATGTATTAACTAACTGGAATTGAAATAGAAACTTTAAAAAAAGAAAAAGAAAAGATGCATGGTATGACTTTGATTTTTTTGAAATTATGGACTTGTTTTGTGGCCTAGTATGTGATCTATCCCAGAGAATGTTCTGTGTGCACTTGAGAAGAATGTGTATTCTGCTGTTTTTTAGGATGGAATGTTCTGAATATGTCTGTCAAATCCATCTGGTCCAGTATATTATTCAAAGACACTGGTTTCTTGTTGGTTTTGTTTGCATGATCTGTCCATTGATGTAAATTGGGTCTTAAAGCCCCCTACTATTATTGTAATATTATCAATTATTTCCATTGTGTTTGTTATTAACTGTTTCATGTATTTGAGAGCTCCCATATTGGCTGCACAAATATTTACGATTCTTATATCGTGCTGTTGCATTGTCTCCTTTATTAGTATATAATATCCTTCTTTGTGTCTTGTGTTGTTTTAAGATTTTTTTATTTGTTTGAGAGAAATGTCTGTGAGTGGGGGTAAGGACAGAGGGAGCAAGAGAGGGAGAATCCCCAAGCAGACTTCCTACTGAACACAGAGCTCAATGTGGGGCTCAATCCCAGGACCCTGAGATCATGACCTGAGTGGAAATCAAGAGTCAGATGCTTAACAGACTGAACCTCCCAGGTTCCCCTTTGTCTTTTATTATA